TTGTTACCCATATGCCTTGGCTATATAATCACTCCTCTGCGCCTCACATTGCCTTATGATGGCAGCCTCATGTAGAGGATTCATGGGGTAGCTGCCGGCAAAGTCTCACGAGGGCATATAATCTCATAGCCGTGTGGATAATTTCCAAAGGCATAGGACCAAGGTAACACAAACTGGGCTAAACCTTACCTTACTATTCCTATTGAGGCTTTAAATAGCCTCACCTACCAACATGCATGTAAAAAATAAGAACTGAAAAGTACCAAATATTCAATGATCATCACAGAGTTTATAACATACTCTGTGATGATATTACAAATGAGAATACTAATATAATGGTAGAGTAAAATGATGAAGGAATTAAAGTGTTGTCCCTTCTTGTCCGAACTTGTAATTTCTTCAATTTGTAACTCTTTTTCATCACAATCCCAATTCTTCAAAATGTATTCAAAATTCATGATTTCTTTTTTGAACGATTAGACTTTGTAGATGTAGTTGGGGCGGCCTTCTTTTGTTTGGCAACTCTCATTGGAGGTCGCCTAACATTTAAAAAATCACTAACCTTGTCGTCCCGACTATTTTTCCTTGTATGAGTCTTCTTACCTTTGCCGCTATGCATTGGTGATAGAACCCCTTTTTTTGCTGCCTCTACTCTACGCTGTTGTAACATTGCTTCTTCCTCTCAGTCTTCATACAAGTCTCTCCCCAGGTGCACTGGTTGTGGAACATTTTGGTCGATAACAATTGTCTCCAATGCAGATTGACCTTGTGTATTAGTCACCATTGTCTTGCTTTGATGATGTTCTATTTTTTGCAATTTGTTCCTGCTCTTACTCAACATTCCAGTGCTAGAAGCAGTAGGATTTACAGGATTTAAGGGATTAGAACTCACCATTGCATCCAAGAGTCTTCTTTCCTCCTCTGAAATATCTGGGATGGTTGTAACAATTTGGTTCTTTCCATAATTTGTTGTTGTGACTTCTCGATCACCTAGATGAGTATCAGCTGGAATAACCTGTCTTGTAGGTATTATTGCATGAAGACTTGTTGTCACAATTTGGATCTGCCCAGATTTTGATGTTGTTGTTTTTGTTCGCTCACCAGTAGGAGTAATATTTGAAGTGTTGGGATTAACTTGTTGCTGCTGCATAGTAGATGTAGGTGTTCCAACTACTATATTTTGAATAGCTGGAGATGAAGGATTTCTTGGAATGAAAGCAGGAGCATTGGAGCTCAAATTGCTCATTGGACTTGCTGCTGGCACTCGTTCAGATTTTACCATCTCTAAGGAATCAATCTCCTCACCTGTACTATCATGATTAGCCTCACGATCAGCTTCTTCTGATGAATAACCAGCAAAACCATCTCCCCAATCCTCTTCATCATCATCCTCTCGTTGATCTAGCCAAAATATGGACTTGATAGCCATCAACCTCAAATTTCCTTGTGTAACATCATTGTTATTCCCCGTTGATAACATAAGTTGTCTAGTTTCACCTTCAACCTCTCCACAAGATTCCATTGACTGCGAAAGAACCTCAAAAACAGATTTGTTTAAGGTGACCAAAGGTTGTTTGGCCATGGGATTATTCATCATCATTTATTTTTGAACATCTTTAATAATTTGTTCAACATGTGGATTGGAGAAGTGCAATGTAGGTGCATTGGATCTGTGTGCCTCTGCATTTTGCGCATCAACTGGAACAATGTTCTTCGAAGTAATGAGTCGTTCACCTGTGTTCTTGGACTTTTGTTGTTGTGTGTTACTGCCTCGAGCTTGTGGCTGCCCATATTTTGGAGTTGTGTTGATCATCATAGCTGCATTGGCATTCTCTACCATTTTATCTAGCTCTGTATTGGAAATGTGCACTGTTGTTGTAGGATCATCAGGTATTTGACTTTGCTCACCAAAGTGATTTTTATCTGTTGCAGTCCCAAGTCGAGCAGCTAAGTCCTTTACATTTTCTGTTGAATTACATTGCATGTAACTCTTGTTTTTCCACCAACTGATTGTGTCTCATCCTCCCTATGTTTCTCCTTACTTTTAGCCTCATTCACATCATGCTCACCCTCATTGACCAATGCATCAAAAGAGCTCAAGACTCTAATAATTGTTGATGGATGAATCTGATTTTGAATAACTGGAGTTTGCTTCTTTATTGGTGATTTACTCACCACTGTCCAATTACTGCTCTTTGTATCAGATTTGTGTGGTGAAGTAGCAACAACATCCTCCTTCAAATGCCCAGATATTTCAATCTTTGGATCAACAGTGAATTGCAAAACGCCAGCTGATTTTGCCATAAACTCCAGCTGAGATGTCGTAGCATTTGTCCATTCCAAAGCCTCAACACTTGCATGTTCATATCCTTCTCCATTTAAAGTAGCAGCTTTGTCACCTGCTACTTTACAAAATTGTTCAGTTGTAGCATTTATAGGTCGACAACCTCCAGATGTCCCCACTTCTTGTTGTATCAAATTGTTGACATCATTTGCATTCACCATAGCATTGTTGTATAAAGTTGACTCCACAGCCTCTATACCTCTCGCTACAGCAGAAGAAATATCATCTGTAATCTTGGTTGTAGCTCGATTGGTAGGGACTGTAGCATGCTTCTTGGAATTAGCTGCTCGATTTACTACTGTCCAGACTGCACCCATCGAATGTTGCATAGTTTGAGCACTAGGTTTTACAACATCACCATTAATCAATGTAACTGTTGGTTTTTCAACTGCAGTAACTCGATCACAATTTTTATTCAATGCAACTGTACCATCCAAATTCGAAACAAAAGAAGCTTGTTCTATCAGTTTCTGTATAATAATTTGCTCATGTCCTTTAGATAATTGATGCCCAGCTTCAGCAAATTTTTGCCCAGTATGTGGACCCTCATGAGCACCAATTGGACCGCGATCAAAATCAGGACCTATAGTTGCAATCTCTTCACACTCCAATGCATCACGACTGTCGCTATATCACTGACAATCCCTCGATTTATTGACACCCTATTTCTTGCTTCATCAGCCATAACTTGAGACATCCTGGCTAAGGCACGATCAACAGGGACAGTAGCCAAATTCTTTGAGGTCCCTGGCTTGTTGGGATCATCGTGGATATTAGAATCAGCTAAAATTGCTTTTGGTCCATCTGTTCTTGCTGCCTCAATTATACCATGCAGTTGTCTCTTTTCATTGAGCATCTGTCTCAAATCTCCTTGAAATTTTTCCACAATCGTGGGATCATCAACTTCCTCGATATCACCATTCAATCCACTATCCTGATTATTTGTTGAGATCAAACGACATGTATTTACATCATGACATTGACGCTTGCAACAAGTGCAATACAGGGGCAGATTATCATAAACAAATTTCTGAAGATGCTCGATCACCATACCAGATTTTTCATCCACAAATTTGATCCTCAAAATCTGTGGCAGCTTACCTAGAAGATCAAGCTCGACCTTGACCCTAGCTGTGCTAGGTCGTGACTTCTCTTGTGTTGCTTTATCTATTTCCAATGGTTTACCTGCTGCCGAAGCTATCGAAATCAAGGATTGTTTTGCAAATAACATAGGAGGCAAGTTAGGAAACGATATCCACACAAAAGCTTTGGAGGTCTGCTCTTTATGATTGAAAGTAATAGTCCATGGAAAAATTCGCATCTGTAATTCTTGTCCATTAGCTACTAAGTAATTAACAGATTTTGCAGCAGCAAGATCATAATCGTCATGTCTATCAAACATGATCAAAACA